GGAGCGTGCGCAGAAGGGGAGATACAAAGCGCCGTCTCCCCGGAGAAGCAGAAGAGGGAATTGACGAGTGTGTGGAAGCCAAGTCCGACGCTTTCCCCCCTTCCAATATGACTAAGCTTCACAGAAAGTAACCCCAGACCTGCAGGGTCGTCCTGACTTTTTGCCAAAATAGTAGCGCCTTGAATATTTCCTTGGACTTCCCTCGAACAATGTAATCTCTAATATTTGCCTTGCGGGTGTCACTATCTTTGCGGGATGATCATCATGTTACTGTTTCTCTACCGTGAACAGACTATGTAAACTTGTAGCTCTGGCAATTTTGCAAGGTTTTTCCCTCCCCCCTTTAAGGGCTCACATTTGGTAAACCAGTTCTTCTGTCTGAACTCCCTGCACCTTTGCAAGTAAACTCTTTCCTTGTCTGTGTCTATCTTTGAGTCTTTTTAGAAAGTGTGTATTAAGGTCTATCTTTAGATGTGCCCTGGCTTTCAAAGCAGAAAGAATATGAAGCTTGTAACATTTCTTTTTTTTTTTTTTTAATATATCTTTATTGATTTCAGAAAGGAGAGGGAGAGAGAGAGAGAAACATCAATGGTGAGAGAGGCATCGATCTGCTGCCTAGACCGGGAATTGAACCCTGATCGCCTGGATCCTAAGTCTATGCTCCACCGCTGAGCTAGGCCCCGTTGGGCACTTGTAACATTTCATGCTTCTGCTTCCTATATGAGTGAGCTTTCTTTTCTTTTCATGACAACTCTAACAAAATTGTTAAACAGAAAGAATTTTTAAATTCCATGACACAAACAGAAATGAGCAAAACTTTCCATTTGAAACAGCTCTATGATCTCAAACATTAGCTCAGAAGTTCAGATCAGTGACTCTCAAGCTTGATTAGACTTTAGAATTACCTAGGGATTATGAAATAAAATTTGATTTCTAGGTCCCATACCCAGAGATTCTGATTTAATTAGTGCAACCTGGGCATCATGATTTTTTTTTAAGTACAGGATATAGCTGTGCAGTTGAGACTGGGAACCACTGATCCAGGTAATGGTCGATGAAAAACCACCCTGGAACCCTCCCTTAACACAGTCATATCATTAGCACATCTTTCCCACTGTATAATTATTTGGTATCTTTGTATTTTAAAGTCATAATAGTCATATCATTAATATTAAAATATTTACTAAAGAAATGATTCTTTGGTTTTTGTGTTAACTGACTTTAAGAGTTTTTTGTTCTAAAATTTATCTAATAAAAAATTTTAAAGCAGATATTGACTTATAGATACTCTTAACAAAAGCAACTGCATTTTTAAAAATTAATTCTGGCAGAGTCAATTGATATGAGAGAGGAGAGAGCCAGCTGGCTACTCTAGTAAAACTTCATAGATCTTGGGTGAATTCTCTTTCCCTCTCAACTCACAATAATCAGACAGTTGCTTAGTGAGTACAGAATCAAAGTGAGAGGAGTTAGTCAAATAGTCTTTTTTAAAATATATATCTTTATTGATTTCAGAGAGAGGAAGGGAGAGGGGGAGAGACAGGTAGAAACATCAATGATGAGAGTCATTGTGTACCTCCTGCACGCCCCCTACTGGGGACCAACCCCGCAAACCAGGCATGTGCCCTGACTGGGAATCGAACCTCGACCTCCTGGATCCTCAACCACTGAGCCACGTCCACTGGACAAATAGTCTTGATGGCCATCATCACCTAATTCTGAGGCTCCCATTGTCCTACAAAAACCTACACCTATGAATGACAGCCGTGTTCAAGAGAGTTTGAGGGTTTTCAACTCTTGGCAGTCATGTGCTCATCTAAAAACTAAGTATTCAATAAATAAAGAAGAAGAGGAGAGCAGATATTGAGGGGCAACCAGTAACTTCTATTCCAGGTCTTAATAAGTATCCTTTGAAAGAAGAATGAATGAATGAATGAATGAATGAATGAATGGATACTGCTAGAAATCCAGGCTCACTATAACCTGAGGAAAAGGGNGCCGAGAGGGGGCGGGCCCCACCGCGGACCTCTCCGCGGGGTGGACCTGCGGTCCTGCCCACAGCAAATCGCCCAATGCCGGGGCAGCCGGGGTGGAGGGGCAGTCAGCAAAGTAGAACGTCCAGGCCCCGGCGGCGCGGGGCGAGCCCCTCCCGGAGCGCGCCCNCCCTGACTGGGAATCGAACCTCGACCTCCTGGATCCTCAACCACTGAGCCACGTCCACTGGACAAATAGTCTTGATGGCCATCATCACCTAATTCTGAGGCTCCCATTGTCCTACAAAAACCTACACCTATGAATGACAGCCGTGTTCAAGAGAGTTTGAGGGTTTTCAACTCTTGGCAGTCATGTGCTCATCTAAAAACTAAGTATTCAATAAATAAAGAAGAAGAGGAGAGCAGATATTGAGGGGCAACCAGTAACTTCTATTCCAGGTCTTAATAAGTATCCTTTGAAAGAAGAATGAATGAATGAATGAATGAATGAATGAATGGATACTGCTAGAAATCCAGGCTCACTATAACCTGAGGAAAAGGGTTGAATTTTGTAGCCCTGATTCTGCTACTTACTGATAATGTAATCTGTAAAATGAGGCTTAGTCTAAATCTCAGTTGTTTAGGTATAATTGAAATGGTGAAGATAAAAATACATAGTGGAGTGAGAAAATGCTGTGTAAGAGGCCTATCTTGCACAGCTTGAGACGTGGTGGTAGGAGCTTTAACAAAGGTTATTTCCTGCCCCTCCCTCGGATAAATACTGCCTCAGGTTCAGCTCTGGCTGATTGGTTTCCCCTGACAGGCTGCTTTGTTAGGAAGGACAGAGTGCTCTAGGCTGTTTCAAAATGGTTTTCCTCCTGCCTGTGTCGGAACCCCCAGCACTGGTTTCTGCTCCAATACACCCTGGATACTCCTGTCTTTCCAATTTTGAGGCAGTGGTTTGCCTGTGTCCTCCCTTCCCTTATGAGTCCTAGGAGAGTTGTTCGTTTTTCAGTCTGTTCAGTTTTTTCGCTTGTTGTTAGGATGGAGCGGTGACTTCCGAGCTCCTGTGTGCGGAGGTACCAGGAGCCGAAGTACCTCCCTTCCATTCTTCACGTTACAAGCCCACCAGGAAGAATTCTCTCCCTGCCTGGGCTAGAGAGACTCGGTGAGTCCCCCGGGGCTTCCCCAAGACGCCACGATCTACAAGCCATCCTGAAGAAACGCTGAAACCAGAAGCATTGCTCCCAGCCCTGCTCCTGGGAAAAGGCGGGGAGACAGACCCTTGAGGAAGGCCAGTTACAAAGAAGAGACACATTTCAAATTTTCTTAAATGACTTTAATTGGAGACTCAAACCCTCTAAACTGTGTATTTCAAGCCTGGCTCTGTGGAACAGCATCTGGTTCTCAGTGGGGTTGGGGCAGAGATGCATAACTGAGGTTGAAACGCAGTCTCCTAGCTCCTTCCTTCTAGAGTTTGTGCAAATTATGGCTTCTGGTCAAGCCTTAAGATAATTGTTAATGACACCAAGCTATAGGCTCCTTCCTTCTTCTGATGCAAAATCCGCCTATGGGGGAACTCTTTCGCAAATTATTCAGGGATCAAAATACAGCTCTGTAACTGCACCAAATATCTACAAGCAGGAACATTCTTGGTGCAGTTACTGAGCTGGCTGTAAAAACCTGCAGGCCTGGAGAAGTCCGCTCCCCACCAGCCCACTCACCGTGTCAACCCCTTACCCTCCCTGCCTAGGGCTGGGCCCTTTTCTGAGAGGATCTAACTCTAGAAAAGACCAAACACCCACGCTTGATGTCCATGGCCTGATTTCTTCGAGGCCCCAAACATAGGGCTGAGCTGCACTTTGCAGAGCTGTGTATAATAACAGCGATTACAGCAATCTTGAATTTCTGTTCTTCCTGAGAACAATTGATAATATCTTCACAGTAATAATTCATCAGGTTTCCCTCTCACCAACCCCAAAAAGAGAGAAGGAGGCAAATCCCATCCCTTTACGTTAAAAGGAAACATGAGGCCTGGAGAGGTCAAGGACTTGTTCACAGTTCCAGCTGCCATCAGGGCAAAGAGCTGTAGGGGGCCCCATCTTTTGTGTCTGGATGCTGTTTCCAAAACGCTAGAGGACAAAGATTTGACTGTTTCCCTGCATTTTTCTAATTTGTATCTTTTCTCTCTTTCCCATATGGACATGTCCGGCTTTGTGAATCCCTCCCAGTCTCCTCCATCTCCCCTCCAGCCCAGAGTGGACAGCATCTCAGTCCTGCAAGAGCTCTCACTGCCCTCATGCCCCTTTCTGGCTCCAAGCTCTATCGGGCTGAAGACACCACGTAGGCCGTGGCAATGTATTTCTTGCCATTTCCATAGGTAGACTTGTCCCAGGTGTAGGTCTGGATGGCTATGGGATATCCACCCAGGCTTAACTGGCACCTGTGGAGAAAGATCATCAAATCCTGGGGCACTGCTTTACTCGCCTCTGTCCCCGACAGGAAGGAATAAGCCCAATTCATGCAGGACTCCACTCTGTCTTAAAAGGCTTCTAAGAGAGCCACCACCGCTGACTTTAGCCACTGCCTTCAGATCCCCACATACAGGGAGTCCTTTCAAAGTCTATGCCTTATTCTGTATCTTCTTCAAGAATATAGCTTTTCATCTTTCCCAGAGCAGTATTCTAAAGTCCCAGGTTCTAGAGCTGAACCCCTAGAAATTAAGTGTCTGCTTAGATTTTCAGAAGTAGCAGGACCCAGAGTCCCCAAATTAGAGCATGTGAGGCCCAATAGTTTCAGCTGTACTCTCTGAGGCTCTAGGGTTCCCCCAAGCAGCCTCTGGGGCAATTAGGGAGGCTTGGAGCCCCAGGGCAACTCCATTTCTGACTGTTTTATACATTAAGGTCCTGCATAAGATTTCACTTGGGGGAAAGATGGGAGGTGGTTCTGCTGCTAAGATGAAGTTTGGCAGCCACCAACCTAACAGATTCATTTCCCAAGTGAGAAAACTGAGACCCAGTCTATGCCCACGGAGCCACCAAGTGGCAGAATTCAGGTCTGATGGTCTGGCTGAGGACAGCCTGTGGCCCCAGCCTGCTCCCCTGGCCTAGCTGGCCCACTACTTACGTTTTGCCAGGCCTGGCGATGAAGCACAGAGAGTAGAGTGCAAACTCAAACTCGGGACTGCTGCCGATGAAAGCTGAGCCCACTTCCTTATAGTAGCCGTCCCAGTTGAACTGCATGGCTAACACGTCAGGGTAAGATTCCCACTGCGGACAGAGAGGGGGTACGGTGAATGCCACAGAGTGGAGGCTGACTGGGGCACAGTGACAAATGGGGGCAGTCAGCCAGGATTGGTTGAGGGCCCATTAGGTGTGTGTGTGAGCTTTCCGGGGAGGCTGGATTCTTTAAATCAACAGAGTAAACAGTCTCTTCTGCTATAGTGGGTAAGCCCCCCTCAGATCCTGTATCCAGAGCTGCCAGTGGGTATCTCCCAGGGAGGCCAGAGTCAGCATCCCTATGACCGATGCCTGGGGAGCAAGGAGGTATCTGTTCCCTATGGCCCTCACATGTGGAAAAAAGAATCATTTATTACTCTCAAATTATTTCCTGGAACCGGGCAGCAAAGGTTTCATTTTTATAAAATAAGAGGAGTTTAACTCAGACTAGCCAGACTGAAACTTCCAGCTGGCACCACATTCTAAGAAAATTCCAGCAGGAAGTAATTGCATGTCTGCTTCTCACCCCAAGAATCCTCCCCTGTCCCCAGCCCCATCCAGAGATGGTGCCCTCTGCCTCCTGCCCCTGCAGGTATGGAGCCTTCACTGTTTCAAAATGAATCTCAGTGTCCTCGGGGGCCACACCCGCTGTCCAGCAGATGGGGAAATCATATTCGCAATCCCCATTAGCTGCCGATGAGGGTAAAGGTGAGGGACAAGTCTGACTGTCCATGCAAGATGAGGGCAGGAAGTCTGGGTACTAGCAAGGTTCCAGCCCAGGGGGTCAGCGCTCAGTACTCACAGGCCCGTCATAGATGTGACTGTAGTAGTCAACCAGGCCCTCCTTCTCTTGCATGTAGAAGCGGATCCAGTTATGGAAGCCAGTGACCTTGCCTTTTTTGACTTCACCTATAATGAAGAGTCCAAAGTGGGTGGTCTGGGCCTCCCCTTCAACCTCTTTCTTCTTCCCATGCCGTCGCTGTCTCACTTTTCAAGTCTCTGACTTCTAGATTGTCCGTCTGCTCAGCCCCTTACCCAGACTTCTCAGAGTCCTCTGCATCCCTAACTTTAACCTCAGGAAGGCCCCCCCTTTCAGCTCAAACCCTTGGGAGAATTCCTCCTCCTGGCTGACTCTGGTGACCAATCTGAGAACTCCTCCCAACCATTTCTCCAAGGTCAAGCCAGACTTGCTGGAAGTTCTATGGGGTAGTGCTTTGGGGAGAAAGGCCAAGACTCTCTTGGGAAGATGTTGACCAAGACCTGGAAGCAGAGGACCATTCAGAGGTAGACAGTCATGGCCCCAAACACCACTCCCTTCCTACATGTGCCCCTTGGGAGCCCCAGCATCTGGTTCTCTTTCTCCGTTAGACACTCCAGAGAAACTGTTCCTCAACAGTGCTCCTCAGACCCTGCCCTCTTGATCTGGCAGTAGACATGTCCCTCCCTGCTGATTCACCAACACCCAGTGCTTCCTTGCTCCTGAGGGAAGCTGTCTCTCCACCTCTTTCTTTCCAAGCAGAGTGATCCCACCTGAGAAGACGTGTTCAAAGCCACTTGAGTCCCCCTCTTCATTGCCTCTTGAATAGAGCCCAAACCACATGTTCTTCAAGTCACTGACGAACTCTTGTTCTGAGCTGTAGCGGTCTGCAGAGAGGAACACAGAGGATTTAAGAGAGGGGAAGGCAGGATCAGATCCTGGGACGGAAGGAAGGGCCACCTGCTCCACATGGGGCCCAGCCAGTGTGGATCAGCAGTTAAGTTGAGCATTGACCTATGATCCCGGCGATCGGGGTTCAATTCCCAGTCAGGGCTTGCAGGCTCGATCCCCAGTAGGGGGCATGCAAGAGGCAGCAGACCAATGACAACTCTCTCATCATTGATGTTTCTATCTCTCTCTCTCCCTCTCCCTCCCTCTCTCTGAAAACAATAAAGACATATTAAAAAAAAAAAGAGAGAGACACATGAGTTCAACCAACAAATGTATCCAACTGTTCATTCAGTAATGATCTATGGTGCACTTGTTTTGTTCCAGGCCCAGAGCTAAAGGTGAGGGATTTAGCAGAGAATCACAGGACTAAGTCCCTGTCTTTATAGTTTGTATTCCAGTAGAAGAGATAAATAATAAAAAAATAAGCAATAAGTAAACAATATGGTCTCAGATAAGTGCTATGAAGAAAATAAAGATTTTGCCATGATGACTGAAGGTGGGGATGGGGTAGGGGCTCTTCTAGAAAAAAGATCAGAAAGGCACTAATCAGAGATCTGGGGCAAAGATTTTTCCACATAAAGGGAAGAGCAAGTGTAAAGCCTCCAGTATGAATTGAGCTCGATGTTCAAAGAGCTGAAAGGAAGTCAATGTGGCTGCAGCAGCATGCGCGGGAGGGGAGAGGCAGGCAGTGGCCAGGTCATGGGAGCCGTGACAAGAGGCTTGGCCCTCAGTCCAACAGTAATAATAACAAACAATAGTTCAGATTTACTGAGCATGTTCTGTGTGCCTGGCACTGTCTGCAGTGCTTTCAAACCTCACATTGAATCTCATATCACATTGGTATCCACAATTTAACCACAATTTAGAGATGAGGAAACTGAGGCAAACAAAGGTTATAAAAAACATGCAAGATTGCAGTTAATAAGGGAGAGAGACAGCACTTGTGCTCTGACAATCTAGCTCCAGAGACAGAGCTCTTAGCGACTCTATAGCTTCCTGGTGGTGGGAGAGACACTAAGAGTTTTAAGGGGAATTTTGTGCTGGGAGCTTTGTTTTTAAAAAAAAAAAAATCACTCCAGCTGTGTGTGTAACACAGTCAGCAGGGCACATGAGTAGCAGAGACCGCTTTGGAGGCTAATGCTTTGTCCAGATTACAAGCGGTGGCGCCTTAGACTGAGGTGGCAGCCATGGAGGAGGGGTGAGAAGTGGGCAGATCAGGGGCAGATTTTGAAAGTGGAAGCGATAGACATCACTGGTGGAGGAAATGGGAATAGGGAGCAGTGAGGTAAAGAAAAGAGTCAAATATAACTCCTGGGCTTCTGGCCTGAGCAACTGGATGAGTGATGGTGTCATTTACGAGATGGGGACAACTGAGGAAGAGGCAGGAGCCATGGGTTCTCTTTACACTAAGTGCTGAAGAGATGCCATTAGATAGGCAGGTGGGGATTTCAAAAAGGCAGTTGTGACCCAAGGAAAGGTAAGGGCTGGGGATCTAAATTAAGGAACCATCAAATATGGACTATTTACTTGCCCAGGATTGTGTGTAGAGGATACAAAAGTGATACCAGACATATTCCCTTCTTTCAAGGACTTAACAATACGTTTGGAAAACAAGACTAAATATACGCAAAATAACAGAGAATGGTTGCACAATCTGAATGGCTACCACTTACTCAGTGCCAGGCTTTCCACTGGGTGCTTTACAAGCCTAAATCCTCCAAGACCCCATTTCATAGATAAGGCCCAGACAGGTAGGATAACTTGCCCAAGGTCACACCACCAGCAAGTGGCAGAGCCAAACTCTAAACCAGTTTCTCTGAACCAAGGCTATTTGGGCCCACATCCCAAACCTTTGACCTCTGAAGAGATGATGAAAGCCAACTGTGAGCTGTTATAAAGGCAGCTTCATAAATGCAGTGGGATGTGAGCTAGGACCTGAAGGACCAGCGGGATTTGGACAGAGAGAAGGGTGAAGACAGGGTGAGTAACGGAAGAGCCTGGCCTCAGTGTCAGAACCTTGGGTTTCAGCCTGGCTCTGCTTATAACTTCCTTTGTGGCCTCAGACAAGTTACTTGTCTGGGCTTCCATCTCGCTCATCTGAGAAGTTAAAGGGCTCAGCTTTCACCTCCAAGATTCTCTCAGTGTTTACTACAAAGAGAACACCAGGGGGCGGTGAAGGATTGCCTCTTCTTCATGGGGATTACTTGTGTGTCACCGACTTCACTTAAAAATAGAGCATGTTACTAACTTAATGCGGAGGCCCTTGGATGGAATGCGGTAGCTGTGAGCAGAGGCCATCCCACGGCCAGGGAGGGAAGACCTGGGCAGAGCTGCTCTGAGGCAAAGCCCAGCTGCCTGGAGTTCAGGAAAGGAATCTGGAGGACACTAACAAACACAACCCGTGCCAAGAAGTTCCGAAGCCCTGACCTTTTTTGGTCTGATTCAAATGCCTGTCTGGAGCCACTCCAATCAGAACCCTTCCCGGTAGAACCTTCCCTCCTGAACCTTTGTTGATTTTCTGTTGCTGTTTCCCCAACAAAAAAGTGGAGTGGGCCAACCTCCTTCCTGGACTTAGATCAGGAGCAAGGAGCAGAATCAGGGATATTCCAAGGCTGGAAGGTGGTACTGAGGTTGGGATCAGCTGAGGTGGCTGACAAGTGCTCTGCTTGTGAAGCAGGGTGGCTCACGGCCTTGCAGAGAACCCTGAGACTGAAGCAGTGAGTGGGGGTGTAAACAAGGCAGCTGAGAGTAAATTAAAAGATGGGGTGACTTCCAGGCCAATCGGGATTCTTCAGCCCTGGCTTGGGTCCATGGCCTCTCTGGGCTCCTCTCTGGCCCTCTCTCCCAGCCCCCTCCCATATGTACAATGGCTTCCATGTAGTCCCCACCCCTGTTCTCACCATCCCCACTGTGGAGGCCCCAGAGGCTCCTGGCTCTCCTGCAGACAGACCTGAGCCCTCAGCACTGCCTCAGAGCCTGGGGTGAGTTCACTCACTCTGCTGATGGAGAAAGCTGTAGAGTTCCTTCATGACAGCTGTCTTCATGACCTCTCTGAGGAAGGTGTCCTGTTCTGCCAGCTGCTGGGCAGTGAAGTGTTCCCCCTGGCCCGTGACCCGCTGGTAGTTGTTGAGGAGGTTGATGAAGGCTGCGTAGGTTGGCTTGGAGAACAGCTTCTCGTTGACATATGTGAAGAGCCTGGGGAGGTGGAGGGAAGCCCAGTAAGAGGCCTGGAGGTGGAGCAGTAACCCCTCCAGGAACTGCCAGATGGGCCAGGGCAGGCCTGGGAGCGTTGGGTTCAGGAGCAGAGTGGGGATTTCAAATACTCTTGAGGGCCTACACGAGGTTGCTCTTTTCTTATACTTCAGTTCTTGGAAGGTTAGTTATGTTCTCAGCCTGGCCAATCACAGAAACCCTCCCCATGGATGTCCACAATCCCTCAAGATGGCTTTGTTTGCCTCTGGAGACCTATTTTTTTCTCTCCCTTTGATCCTGCCTGCCTGGAGAAGAGAGCTGAGGCATCAAAAGAAGCAAACTTGGGAGAGAGACTTTGCAGGAGAGGAATGAAAGGAACTCACGGTTCCGGGCAGTGGTCTACTTGGTCTCTGGTCTCAGAGGGTGAGATGGCATTTTGGCTGTTGAGAATGATGTCTTCCTTCTGGGCTTTGTTGGTGTCCGCCCTGTAGATCTTCTCAGAGATGGCCAGCAGCTCCTCCTTGGTTATGGCATCACTGCTGTGGGAGAAGCCCTCTGGGAGGAATTGGGAGAGGGGTGTCTCAGTGTTCAGAGCCAGAGGGAGGCCAGAGGGAGGCAACTGTCTGTGTGCATCTCCTTCTGGGTAGGGGCCTCAGGCCTTAAGGATCCTTAAAATCAGCACATGGCCTTGACCACAGAATGTCCAGAGAATGTCCACACTGCCCCCTTTCTCTAGGAAGGTTCTCAAACTTTGGCATGTATCAGAATCACCTGGAGGGATTGTTAAACCAGGCCCATCCCCAACCCCAGAGTTTCTGATTCAAGTAGGTCCAGGATGAAGCATTTCTAATAAATTCCCAGATGATGATGCTGCCCAAGAGACCCCACTTGGAGAACTATTGCCCAGTAGAGTCCCTCTGTTCCTGGAGCTAGGCTAAAGGGAGCAGGAGACTGACCATGGCCACATTGGCTGTTGAAATCCTTGCAGCAGTTCCCAAACTCTGGACAGCGGGCATTGCAGTGGCATGGGTGGTGCTTATCGAAGGATTCGTGGCAGCGGCCCCGGCAGGAGTTGGGTGCTGAGTACAGGTCTGAGAGAACAGGGGGGAGATGTGTGCTGGGCAGACCTCTAGAGGTCACTCAGTCACGGCTAGTTCCCCACACTTAGCTTTGCTCTCCTGAAGTTCTATTAAAGATCTCTGGGGAAGGGAAACAAACAAGCTTCATTGGTCCACACCCTTCACAGTCAGGAAGTCCTTTCTGGTGTCCAACTCTACTCTCTGGCCTGTGTTTTTATAATCTTCCCACTCTAAAAATAAAATCTCTTCCACTTCCCTCTCCGGCCACTCCTTGGGCCTCGGGCTCATTTCCCTGCCGCCTACCCC